ATTAATAGATGATAATTATAATTAATCAAAAACTACAGAAACATAAATAAATGAATAAATTTGTTGACATAAATGCATAATAAACGTACGCAATCACAAGAGCACAGCCACACACGCATGCAAAGAGTTTAAATTAAATGATCTTTACACATAATAGAAATGCACACAAATTTACAAATGATTCGCCTATGCTGTACTAGAATGTGAGAACTTAAGAATCACGAACTTTTCAATAACTTTCTGTACATGAAATTCCCCTGTTGATGACATTGTGTTTGGTTCTAGCATGTAGCCAGAGAGGGAGATGAAACTGAAGCAAAAATTGTACTCATTGATGGAGAATGGTAATTTGGTTCAGGCATTTTCTGTGGGAGAATTGGTAAAGGAGCTTCAAACTTAAGCACTTGAATCACTTGCCTCACAGATGGCCTTGATGTATAGTCTGGATTGGCACACCAAAGTCCAACAATCACTAAATGTTCCATTTGTTCCTCATCAAATGCTCCCCCAAGTTTTGAGTCTGCCACTTCAAGTAACTTTCCCAATCTATAGAACTCCCAAACCCACTCAAATATGGTTATTTGACCTTCATTGGCATTAAGATCAATTGGTTTTCTTCCACTTGCTAACTCCAACAAAACAACTCCAAAACTGTACATATCAGATTCCTTTCTAGCCTTCCCTGTAGTGAAATATTCTGGGGCTATGTACCCCATGGTCCCTGCTAGCATTGTGGTTTGTGTTCCTTTCTCATGATCAACCAACCTAGCTAAGCCAAAATCCCCAAGCTTAGCATTGAAACTTGAGTCCAACATAACATTGCTGGATTTTATGTCCCTATGAAGCACACACTGCTCCCATTCTTCATGAAGGTACAACACTGCCAAAGCCAAGTCCATTGCAATGTTGTACCTCATCTGCCATGTCAAGATGCTTTTCCCACGGTATAGGTGGGAATCTAAGCTACCATTTTGCATGAACTCGTATATAAGGAGGAGATCTTTCTTCATGTGGCACCAACCAATTAGTTGTACTAAATTCCTGTGCCTCAGCTGGCTGATGATCTTAACTTCCGTGGCATATTCCTTAATTCCTTGCTTAGATTCTCTTGATATTCTCTTTATAGCAACATTGGATTTTAAGTCTTTCAAATAGCCTTTATAAACACCACCGAAACCACCTTGTCCTATCTTTTGTGCTTCTGCAAAGTTACTTGTTGCACTTGCCAATTGTCTATAGCAAAATCTCTTGGGACCAATGCCCTTTTGGAATTCATCATCCATGCTCAGATCTACAAGGGAATCTTCTTTTTTCCCTTTAGCCCTCTTCCACATTAAAATACAAACCAACCCTAAAAGAAGCAAACTTGCAGCTACACCTATACCAACTTCTAGCCTCATCAATAAACCTTTGTTGCCCTCTTGTTTAGGGCTAATAGTAGCAGTGGCAATTGGTGAAGGACTAGGACTTTGGATTGGGGAGGTTGCAATTGGAGGTATCTGATTTGACACATTCTTGTTACTTTGTAAAGTTGAATGGAATGACCATGACTGCAGTGTGTTCATCTCAAACAAATATCCTGTAGCAGCTGAGAAGCCGAAAATAACCCACTCTGGTAGGTAATCTCTCAAATCAACATTGCAAGAGATATAACTTTTTATTTGCTTGCCATTGATTTCGTTTCCAGTGAAAGAAACGATTAAATTATGAGTACTTGCATTGTACTCAATTACACAATGATAAACTTTCATTTGTCTAATATCAATCGGCCATGGAACAGTTATGTGAGATCTCATAGAGTTGTAATTTATACCTACATGAAAGTCAGGTGGATCCCAAGAATTTTGGTGTGTATCAAACTCCACAGCCACAAATGGATACTTAGTTGAGTTCAATAATTGGTTTCCATCCACAAGACCAAGACCACCTCCTTCTTGTATCTTTCTTGAAAGTGGCAGCTTTGGATCTGCAAAGAAAAAAGCCAAGCCATCCCCAAAACTAGTATCATTTGAGAAAATGACAAAGGAAAATTTGGTAGTGAAGTCAGTGAGGTTTCCTGAGCTCATGTCCCAAAGGTGCAATGACTCAAAACTTGTGACTCTCCCAACACTGTAAGCATTGCTTTGGTACCTTGTGGTTGCAGTGAGTTGGATTTGTGAATGTGACAAAGTGGCATCACCTTCAATCTTGGTATCATCATACTCAAACCCTTGGTAGTGAAATGAAAGTGGGTTTACAAAAGTAATCAAAGGAAGTAAGAAAATGATTCCCATAGCATAACACGATGGAGCCATCTCCGGGTGAGAGTTGAATTTGAGTCTTGTGCAATTGTTCTACTTTGATTTTCTTATTTATGTAACATAGACAATGATCTTATTCATTGTTTTTATTGGTTTTGGATGTGTGTAATTGTCTTCTAGTTCTGCCTCATGTCACATTGCAATATAGAATTGAGCATGGCTACAATGACAAACCTATGCTCGAACATGGAATCAAGCTTTAGAGTTCATCCTTTTAATTAATAATCAATATGAATAAGTCACACAGGACCCTACGATATGAAGTCCAAATCGCTAGGCCTGCGGTGTGTACCATTTCAGATGATGAAATATTAATGAAATACATTCACTTTTTAATAATACTTCGAGCTTATTGTTTGATTATTCTATTTACTTTTTCCGACTATTACTCTCTTATCCCAAATTTCTGTCCGTTGAGACATGATTTTCACGGACTTTATTTTATAGCTTAACCTTAGGAGTAGGCACTCGGATTGGTACACTAACATTAACATTAACATCTCCAAATGTCGAATCACTTTTTTTTTTGTTTTTTCAAAATGGATGGTGTTTCACTACTTCTCGACCAAACTCAGACACACAACGTTTTTTTAATCCCAAAATGAAAATGAGAAAAGTTTCTGTATTTAATATCTCTACATTTGAGTTTTCATGATGCTACAAGTTTCCTTCCTATCGCAAGCGACGCCGAATGCTAAAGTACAATAAGAAAAGTTTTGATTGTTTTCTAACGGCAATGAAGATGAGAGAAATTTTAAATGGGAATGTGGTTTGAAACATCAGTTAAAAAATTAGCTTAGATCATTTCGATTAGGTCTATCGAAAGAGACTAATCCATTATACAATGGTGGACCGCAACATAAAAATTTAGTGAGAGAGATAAAATCGTGCTTAATTTGAATAAGAAAAATTTCTAATTTAAGTCAAATTAATAAATATTAAAAAAAAACTGCAATTTTTATTTATGTAATTGGTTCAGAACACACGGATGCATGTGATCAGAAATTTAACGACCAATTATGTAATTGATTCATTCAAAAAGTAATAATTGATTAGAGAATTAGTTTAAACCAAATTTTTATATTCAGTAATCCGATCATTTTTTTAACTCATCATAATTTTAGCTCACATATAAATCGTTATTATTTAATTTTTATCTTACTTTTCTATGTTAAATAACATATAGTATGCGTTTTTATTTTTATTTTTTTTATGATTTATATTATCTTATCATTTAATATAATATATTATTGAATACGTATTATTTTTCTCATTATGTTATATAGGTGTGAAGTCAAGTACTATTTAAATAAAGGATCATGATATATAGAATTTTTTTTTGTAAGTATATCTCTTTTTATTTATTTATTTTAAAAAAATTTAAAATATATTTAATCTTTTATTCTTTAATTTATTAATTTTATATCTTAAATTTTTAATTTAATATACTCTTCTTCTTCTTTACACACTTCTTTCTCTTTACCTTTCGGTTTTTATATG